TGGCATGTACATGAAAGCAGTGGTCGAAGACCCCGTGGGTTTAGAGTATCTTTCAAAACTAGGCAGCAGGGCAATGAGGAGAAAAATTCGGAAAATTATTGATGGAGGTGAGCGTGGTTATGTCAATAATTTGCCTGAAGAGTTCTCGAAGAGGAGATTTGAGACTAATGCTCAGTTTGCCACACTTTGGTCTTGTCGCTGTGGTGTTGCCAATGCTCAACTTGATTGGCATGACGAATTGTTAAAGGGGCCAAGCATGTGCACGTCGTGTTTCTGGGCACAGGAAACGCAAAAGTTCTTCGTATTTGTTTGGTATGCAGCGCGTTCTGGGCCGTCAATGGAAGAATGGTGACTGATTGGTGAAAGTCAACCACTTTCGGTGTGTACACCTGCGTTGTGTACACCTTGGTGTGTACACCTGCGTTGTGTACACCTCGGCGTTGCTATTATTTCAGAATTATTCGAATTGTTTAGCATCTGCGAATATGTTTTTTTATGTTATGTAATCGATTTAGATTCCATATTTCGTACTTTATGATTTAATCTTTTATTTAGACCTACTATGTATGTATGTATGTATGTAGGTGTACTTTGTTTTGCTTTCTATCTATGTATACTTTAATAGTGTTGACTTTATTTAATTTCGGTGGGTGGTAGTGCCAGTTTTTCGAGAACCATTCTCTTATATATTTAAAGTCTCAGTTTACCTCTCTGTGTACGCCTAATAACTACAAAAAAAGAACACCTCAATCTGGACTCAATATGTACACCTAAATTTGTACACCTGAATGTTACATTTATCACATATTATATATTTGAGTATACAAACGACATTATCTCTTTTGTGGGAATTTTCGGAGAAGATGGATATACAAACGACATTATTTATTAAAAATCTAACCTTACCTATTTCTGTACGCATATTTTAAAAAAAATCATGATTTCGTCTATGTGGACTCAATCTGTACTCCATATCTCGGTTAACATGATGTTGAGAAAACGTCTGTAATGATGACAAGAAATATAGTTTCCAACAATTAAAAAAACTGCTGGGTTGTTAATGAAATTTCGATAATATCCTAAACCCTTTCCAAGTTTAAATATTGGGAAACATAGTGTACGCTAGAAACAAACCTGAAAAACAAAGCGAGATCCCCAAAAAAAACAACAAGAGACAGACAAAAAAAATGTGGCTCGCTCTTTCCTACACACAACAAAAGACACACAAAAGCCACACCCGGTCAACCCAATGGTTCTTTGCATTTTGTCCGGTTATGGCCGGCGTTTCCACATCTCGAGCATTTGTTAAGCTTCTTTTTTTCGCAACCTGCAACAGCGTATATCACTAATCAGTAATCAGTAATCAGTATGACTGGGAAAAAAAATAATTGTTTAGTGTTCACTAACCTGAGGATACTCTCCTGCTGAAAGTTTTCTCTTCGTCGTAGGCCTTCCTGATGGACGTTTTGCTTTAGGTGGCATAATATTAAGGTCACGCACCTCTGCTGGGATATGAATGTCGTCAGGGTCGGGCACTGGTAGGATTTTGCCACAAACTGTTGCACTCCAAGTTGATTTCTTAAGAATTGGATCAACCAAACTGCTGTACTCCACTTGACGAAGCCTAGCCGCGGCCATTGGATGTCGGCAAGGGTATTTCAATGTCTGAAACTCTAGACATGAGCATGTTTTGTTTAGGAGATCAACAAGCCTCCGTACACCGAACTCAGAACTCACTTCAACCTCCCACAAAGAAATGCCTTGAACCGATAGTGCTGCAGATTTTTGCTGCTGCAGGTTCATTAACTTGTCAACCTTTTCTGTAATGTCACCATCCATCTTTTGAATGTTCTCTCCTTCTGCATTCAAGCCACCTACTTAACATTCGCCTGATAAATTCTAGCATTGCAACGATTGGACTGTCTCTTGCAGCGAATAGTGCATTGTTCAGAGACTCTGCAATGTTACTGGAGGTCATATTATACCTCTGACCAGAAAAGTGTGATCTAGTCCACAGCGCAAGAGGGATTTTTTCCATGTACTCCCAACAACGATAATCAACATCCTTCAGCCTTGCGTATAGTTTCTTGAAATAAGAAACTGTGAACACTTCTCCAGCCTTTCCGACCAACCCTTTCTGACCGGAACCTTTGTATTTACCGTGAACATTTCTCTGGATATGGACAAGACATGCACCGTGGTGTGACTGTGGATACCATTTCTTTTTAGCTTTGGCAATTCCACCGTGCCTATCCGAGATAATAGTAAGATCAGAGGAATCTGGAATAATTTCTAACAACTTCTCAAAGAACCACCTCCACGTCTTGTCAGACTCTGCATCGACAACGGCGAACGCTATTGGAAATACCTGGTAATTAGAATCTTGTCCAGTGGCCGTTAATAGACAACCCTTATACTTACCAGTCAGGTGAGTCCCATCAACAACAACTACTTGTTTCAAATGTTTCCATCCAAATATACACGCAGCCAATGCCATAAATACAGACTTAAACCTGGTAATATATTTTCCATCTTTTTCATCTCTCTCGCTCTCGGTTATAAAATGCGTTATGGTGCCGGGGTTAGCATACTTGAGCACATGGAGGTAAATCGGTAATAATTTGAAAGAAGTCTCCTCTGTTCCGTGAGCAGAGTATATAGCCAGCTCCTTAGCTTTCCAGCATTTCCAGTACGAGGCTGTAATATTATATTCGAAGAGAACAATCGCAGGTAGCTGACTCGCACGTGGCCCAACTATTGCATTCTCATACTTAGACTTCAGCAGAGCCGCCATGACTTTAGAAGTAGCATGTTTAGAAAATTTCTTTCTTGTATGTGGGTGGCATGTATGCTTCAAACACGCTTTCCTCACCTCATACAACGCCGACTCGCCAACTTGAAACCCCAACACTCTCCAATCACATATCTTTGATGGACATTCGGCGACTGTGTACTTCTTCGCATGCTTTTTGAATTCGAACGTCACTATATTCTTCAGCGCATTGATGGCCAACGTGATTTTAAAGTGTTCCTTGTTCCTGAACTTTTTCCCAACCCATATCTCTCCATCTTCATTTGACAAATCAAGTTCATCGAAATCCCCTCCCATTTCATCAGAGACTGGTGCCACATCCGGAAATCCATATAGTTCTGTACGTTTAATCGCTTTCTTCAGCTCTGCACCGCCATTCTGACGCCCCCAACTGACATCACCTGTCGGAGTCTGCACAAAATCATCATCATCTCCATGGGGAGCCAGAACATTCTCACATACAGTCCTCTTTCTTCCAGGAAAATGAATAGGACTCTCCGTTAAGACAATGGAGTTGTCCATATGGTTTGAATCACTCAGCTCACTTCCGCGAGTACTTCCACAACCCCCTGAACTACCAGAGTCATCCTTATACTCATCAAATCCAGGTTTAGAATGGAAACCCTTACCATCTGCTAGTACGTAATCATTCCACCAGTCAAAATCATAATCCGGATCATAATCATCATCAGAGCCGTGTGCGTCATCGTCAACATCATCAGCTTCCTTCTCTTCCGAATCTCTCGCCTCGTCTGATTCGTGGGACATTTTTAATTCCAACTCAGGGTGGTCAACAGAGACTGCGTGACTTGGAACATCAGGTTTTACGTTAACGGAGGTGTTAGTGCTGGCCTTAGCCTCTACTTTCTCTGATTCCTAGGACATTTTTAATCCCAATGGAGGATGGATAACAGAGACAGCTTCAAGTTGTACACCTTTGGAGGTGTTCATTGCGGCCTCTGCCTCTACTTTCTCGGCATGTGCTATCAACAAACAATCATCGATATCTTCATCATCTGCTTCATCATCGGGTTGACTAGACTCTGCCGAAGAAGAGGCTATGAAGTTTGTTGGCCCTAAGGACTTTCGCCGTTCCCTCGCTATTTGAACTTCAAGACTTTCCTTCCGTTTCAATCTCACCATTTTACCATTTACTGACTCCTTGAATGTGACAAATAAATTCACAGACTTGTCAGACTTATGCAGCGAAAGGAAGAATTTGTACTCTCGAGGAGTAACTATTACACATGGACAACTCCCATCACCATTAAGCTCAGCTAGAACATCATCAAACCAGTAGGAAATCTCCACCGAAACAACTCTCGGGTCTAATCCGAACTCATGCGCAATCAGATTTCTCAAATCATCTAGCCCGGACACATCTTTGCAATTTATGCACCTTCCACGACGAGATATGTCCATTTTGAAATCCCATTCTCATGTATAGTACCTTATCCACATTCCCGCCATAACAAGAATGAACGCATCCACTGCAATTCGCGAACACCATATCTAAAAAACTACTGGCAAATAGCGGACACCAGTCCGAAAAAAAATTCGAAAATAACAATGACAAATTTATGGGTGTACAATAATAGGATTAAGTAACTAATCGTGGTTGTTGTCCTCTTGATCATCGCATAATTTCCCCTTCAATTTCAACATCTTCTGGAAAGGGAAACTAGGGTTTCTAATTTGGTTAGGGTACTTTGTTTTTTATTTTAATCAATTTATCTCCATTATCACTAATTAACCACAATTTTTCCAGCCAAAATTAAAAAGAGAATGGGAAGGGCAGTTTTACGTGTAATGAGTTGGGTAGTTTCTGGCCCATAACAGAGATCGAGTAAGGTGATTTTTGGGAATTTCATTCCCAAAAACCGAAATCAAGCTCAAAAAACGATCCAATCACGCATGTGAGTGCTCTCTTCCTGGCTGTTATGCACGCGGACGAAGACTACGCCTAGGATCCACGGTATTTTCTGTGTCTGTTTCTCTCTAAGGAACAGACTGCTTTCTCTCTCTCTCAGAGATAGGAGTAAGTTTGACATTATGTAAGTTTGTTCCTATCCTGACTAATTAAAACTTAAAACTACCTTTTTCTCAAATTAAAACTTAAAAACGTCCTTATTTTCAAAACAATAAAAAAAAAAACACATCAAAATCTGAAAGCTCTCGAGGCGCGCTATTGTGTAAAAGGTCCCTCTGTTAGGGTTTTTCTTCGGGGGTTTTGTTCTCCTTTCTCATCGATTAATCCTCCGCAGAAATTCCCAGCTTCCGCGGCTAGTTTTCTCGTCTGCGACCTAACAATGTTGTCTCCGAAGGAATTAGTGGCAATAGTACAGTCTTCACTGCTCGGAACGTCACGGCCAACTCCAACGCAGCGAATCGAACTCACTCATGCCATTCGATATTCCTTTTCCTCTATTCAGAACCTCCTCTCTTTTCCGGTACTCAATTTTTGGTTCCTTCCCGTGGCTTTGGATTGGAAAATTCTGGGTACCGTTTTTGAGCTTTGGCTTTTTATTTATTTCAGCCACCGAAGCCGTCCGATAGAGCGCAAGTTCAGTCCCGAGAGATTCGACTCCCTGATTCGTTGCCAATACCTTTGGATGAACAAGATGTCGCGATTGTAAGCGTTTCTTTAAACTTTGGGAGACGAGTGTTTTGTGCTTCTCAGATTTCTGATGGAGTTTAAGTTTTTTGAAATTTAGATATGAATAGACACCGATTAATAGCAATGTCTCTCTTTACCTATGATTGGACCTGTGGATGCATTGTATGAAATCTGGTTCCGTAGGAAAGGCAGAATTTTGCTGTTAATTTATTCACTCCTTATGATGTAACACTAGTTACATGTATTTCTTTCATAGGAATAGTGTATCTCGTGATAATTTGTTAAATCTACCAGCTGGTTTACAGTAAGAACCTTTTGGCTTTTGTTGAATTCTCTTAATCTTTAGAAAAAAGGTTAATCGCTATTTCCTTATATTATCTTAGTATGTAATAATTTATGTGGTTGATACCTTCCCGCTTCAGAAAAAGGTTAGCTGTTGTTGCCGTTATATGACTCTATGTTCAATAATATCTAAAGGACCATGTTTTTCTATGATTATTACTGCTTGTAGACCTTGAAACTGAGTGATGAGCTTCACCTAAACGAGATTGATTCTGTTCGTCTGCTTGTATCTGCAAACCAGGAGGTGCAGTTCCCTTCACTTTGCTTTCACTCTCATCTTTTAGCTTCTAAAATTTCTTGAGTTGTATTCTTATATTTTATCCTATGCTTAGTGGGGCTTGATTGGACGAGACCCGCTTGAGATTCAACGGCTTGCAACTGGCCTATGGTATACAGGGAGAAGAGATCTTACATCAACACTCTACACACTCTTGAGGGTAGCCTAAACTCATGTTATATCTCTGGTTTTTTTTTTTTTCTTGTTTTGTTCATTGCATCATCACACATTACCATTTTTCTTGGTTGAACAGGCAGTCGTTCTGGACCAGGGGGTTGAACCTGATCTTATAGCTGACATTCAGGGACTCTTAGAAGATCTGATTAAAGCTGGGCTCAGACAACGGTTGATAAATCTTATAAAGGTATTAACCACTTAGGTTCTTTTGGGATACATCTTCTGAGGTTTCCAACTCAGACTTCAGCATATATAACTTAATAACTTCATGCTAATCTGTCAATTGCTGCACAGATTTCTTCTGAAGCACTCATCGGTTATAGAGTTCACATCAAATGAATCAAAAGATTTCTCTTTAAACTCTGACAATCTAACGATCGTCTCCTAAATCAATTATCTTTATAGCAGAATATTTGTTGCGAAATCATGCTTTAATCTATTTAAAATATAAGATGTAGTCATTATCAAGTTATGATTTTCATGATAACAAATTCTTGTTGTTAGGAACTTAATCGGGAGGAACCTTCTGGCTTAGGTGGGCCCTTATCTGAGCGATACCTTATTGACTCACGAGGTGCTCTTGTTGAACGACGTGCTGTTGTTCATAGGGAAAGACTGATCCTGGGACATTGCCTTGTACTTTCTATTTTGGTTGATAGACCTGGTAAGATTCTTCATTTTTCACATAGCTTTTGCGCGAAGAATGCCACTTGTCAAATAAATATAGTTGCTGAATGTGGTGCCTTTTGCTAGTTCTATTGTATATCATAGTATGTGAAACTATTTATAAGTGGTTTGTATATTTGCTACGACACTTAGTAATTAGCTGCTCAATGTGCTATGAAATGTATTGTGTGTGCTATAGATATATGATATGCCTGTGGAAATATGCATTGAATGTGCTTGCATGTTTGATTGATGTTGAGCATCATATGTCATTCTGGTGTTGATATACATCCTTCATTTTCTGATCTCACTTATAAAGAATTCGAATATTTTGAGTCTTTTTATGGATATTAAATGGTTTATTCATAGGATTAAAGCATTCTTGTTATATTATATCTTTTGTTTTTGTTCTGAGGAGATTTTCTATGTTCAATGTTCTTCGCAGGTCCAAAAGATGTGAAGGATATTTTAAATGTTTTAAAAGATAATGCAGCTCAATTAACTCAAGGAAATGACACCATAAGTTATCAGGTTGATACTAATCCTGTTCATAACGTAGATGCTTTTAGGCTTGCTTTTTCTCTGCCTTTAACTTTGAAATGTATTATTTTCTGGAAAATGATTGTTTTCTTTGTTGCAGATTACTTTTAGTCTTCTGTTTTCTCTCATCATCACCTTTGTATCAGATGCTATCAGCGCACTATCTGATGTGTCATCCATGATTTCTCAAGATTCTTCGTTTAGGACAGAGTTTCAGGATATTGTAAGAAAGTTGTTACATTTTTTTCTGTCGCTTTTCTCCATCAGCAAAAACCTTCCCTTACTGACATTTGAAAACACACTTCTGTCGTACTTACGTCCTAATCACCTTTCAGGTAATGGCTTCTGGCAGTGACGTCATTGTTGATGGCTTCATTGGTGGCATAAGGCTTGCCTGGGCTGTGCATTTAATGTTGATTTATGATGGAATATCTGGAATGGATACGATTTCCACCGCTTCAACAACAGATATGGGGCACATATGCTTCTGCCTGGAGTCCATCTTTTCAAAAAATGTGTTTCAATTTTTGCTTGATAATGTTCTTCTGACTGCAGCCTATCAGGTACTGTAATTATAAACATCATTGCAAGGAATTCTGTGTGCTTAGTTATTGTCCATCTAATGCATTCCTTGCGCACTTTATATCGTTTGACGAGCTAGTGGAAGAATTACTTTGATTTCTGAGCTAGTGGATGACATGTTTGAACTCCTTAGCTTTTCATGAAGATGAGCTCTAATAGAGATATGTACTTTAGGTGGTAGAATTTTGTATTGAATGAGCAATTATGCGTGGATCATGAGAAAAAGATCTATTTCCTAATGGTCCCTGCGGTGTTTATATTCATCCATGACATTTGTAGTGCATATTGTCTGTTTCATTATAATGGTTTTATGTGTTGGCCTGCATGGAAGCCGTCTTTAGCGTTTCGTACATCCAGGCTTTGCTTATTCCCGGATGTGATACTCTCATATCCTTATGCTCGGTTTTCTGCTTTAAACCACATTATATATCTATTAATGATTTATTACTGGAGAATATGATTTTATTGTATTGGTGTCCCATGGGTTCCTCTTGTCTGTTTTATATATTCATGTATACTCTCTAGGATTTTGCTTAATTAGTCAGCTCTCAATTTTAAGCCTCTTTTCACTTTATCTCTTTTTGATCTTTGATTTTACTTATTCAGCCCTGGTTCGCCGTTGTGGGTCTATCAATGATTGACATTTTGTAGTTTCTACGTGCAGAATGACGAGGAGGACATGGTCTACGTATACAATGCGTATCTTCACAAGTTAACCTCTTGTTTTTTATCTCACCCGATCGCAAGAGACAAGGTTTTTCAAGTATTTTCACCTCTTTAAATTCATGTATCTCTACCTAGCATTAGTTATGAACGTTTTAATGCTGCAACTTAATCAAGTTAAAGCTTGGTTACTTTTCCTGCCTAGGTTCATGGTCTAGTAGTTATGATAAAATTGATCATATATGCTTTACAGTTAGAGGGAGTAACTTTTTGATGCATCAGTCATACGTTCTGAAATTATCAGCTTGATCGCTTTCCTGATGTTTCGATAGTTTCTGAAGTTGAATAAATAAGCCAAGATGACCAAAACAATAGCACATCTGCATCTTTCTATCGTGCGTCAAGCCTGCTCATCCTTATTTTTCAGGTGAAGGAATCAAAGGACATGTCTATGAGCATTTTAAATTCTTACCGAACCTATGATTCACTTGACGGCAGCATGCAGACTGAAGAGGCTGACAGGCCACTGCCCTTCATTTCCCTTATGGAGTTTGTAAGCAACATATATCAGGTAAAGAACCTATAACCAGTCAAACAGTTATTTATTTTCTTTGTTTTGCTATTGCTTCTCAAACAAATGTTTGAAGGTAAAGTTCGATTCATTTGTTTTTTTTGTAGCTAATTTTGTTTCCCATAGCAAAGTAGGGAGAATTCAGAATTCGACTCGATCATATTTCGTCTTTTACCATATTCCTTCTTTTGTGTCTTTTTATCTTAACAACCTCTTATAGAAGGAACCTGAGCTACTCTACGGGAATGATGTCTTGTGGACATTTGTGAATTTTGCTGGAGAGGACCACACAAATTTTAAAACCCTTGTGGCATTTCTGGAAATGCTGTGTACCTTGGTATGAGAAGTCTTTTAGATTGGCATTTTGGTGGGACCTCATTTCGTTGGTTACTCATTGAGCTTCTGTGCTGTCATCTCTACTTAATTTCAGGCTTCCACTCAAGAAGGTGCTTCTAAGGTTTATGAGTTGCTCCAAGGTACAGCATTTCGCAGTATAGGATGGGCAACTTTGTTTGATTGCATAAGAATTTACGACGATAAGTTCAAGCAGTCTCTTCAAACTGCTGGAACCATGATGCCAGAGTTCCTGGAGGGCGATGCAAAAGCACTTGTTGCATATCTGAATGTACTCCAGAAGGTTATATAACGTTGTTCCAAATATATTCTGTTTCAAAATCTCATTCCACGAAAATTTTCTTTTTATTTAAGATGATTCATCTTATGACTAGGAACGTGGCTTAAACTGCGGTTTGGTTCTAAATACTTGTATAAGTGCTTTTTCTCTTCGAATGGATCCTTTCTCATCTATGAAACTGACATTTAAACATACTTGCAAATTATTCCTTGGCTGGGAGGATATGGGAATATGTTATCTAAACAATCTTGCAAATGCTTCCTCTTCTGTTAAACTGATGTTTGAACTGCATATATATATATATATATATATTTTGTGGTCAATAAGTGAGTTTTTCTTATTATGCAGGTTGTTGAGAATGGTAATCCTACCGAGAGGAAAAATTGGTTCCCTGATATCGAACCATTTTTTAAGCTTCTTGGTTACGAGAACGTCCCTCCATATCTGAAGGTCAGTGGCGAGCTAGAGATTCTTCCCGTTACACTCTGACTCACAGATTATTCGTGGAAAGCTTCTGGCATCAATATCTATTTAACTTGTTTTCATGGTAACTGTATTTTTCTGCAGGGTGCTCTTAGGAAGACCATTGCTGCCTTTGTTTATGTCTTTCCCGAAATGAGGGACTCTATCTGGGCATTTCTTGAGCAGTATGATCTGCCGGTTGTCGTGGGATCACCTGTGGGAAAGAGTGACCAATCTTCTCAGGTAAGTGCATGGCTTCAAGGGGAATGCTATTAGTAGATATTTAAACTCTACTTTGTTACGAGAATTGATTAGAATTTTGTTACTTTTCATTCATTTTTTTTTTTACTTATGCATTAAAGAGGGTTTGTTATCTTGCAAAGATGATTGATTCATTTATTTTGGGCATGCAATGTAGCTGTTTGTTACGAAAAAATATTGATATCTGTCTAATTCCTGCAACAAGTCCATAATTTTCCATGTGTGAAGACTTTCATGTGATAAAGGTTTCATTTTCATTTATTTTTTCTGAATACTCACATAACCCATATTGCTATGTTTGGAGTAGGTAACACTTGGTATAACATGTATTATCGGATGCAGCTTTTGATTTTTCAGGTGGATAGAATCTTTGGCTTATTTTGAATTCAATGCGGATTCATTTATATGCAGGTCTATGATATGCAGTTTGAGTTAAATGAAATTGAAGCAAGGAGAGAACAATATCCTTCAACAATATCGTTCCTTAATCTTATTAACGCTCTGATTGCCGGAGAGAACGATGTGACTGATCGTGGGCGTAGGTTTATCGGCATCTTCAGATTTGTCTATGATCATGTATTCGCCCCTTTCCCTCAGAGGGCCTACTCAGATCCTTGTGAGAAGTGGCAATTGGTTGTGGCAAGCCTTCAACATTTTCACATGTAAGCTTCCTCTTTATTTGCTCGATCCAAGGACATGTTTATATGCTTATCAAACTGCACAGAGTGTTCTTAGCCTTTGTAAATTCCATCACTTTTCATTTAGGGCACCATTTTTGTTGAAGACTTGATTTACATTTGTTCTGCATTTCTCTTCAGGATTTTAAGCATGTATGATATTCAGGAGGAGGATCTTGACGGATTTACTGAGCACTCACAGTTTTTGGCGTCAATTGAAACATCTTCACTGCAAACACAGCTTCCAGTGATAGAATTACTAAAAGTACGTTTTTTTTTTGCTTTTTTTACTGTTCCACAGTGGTAACAGAACTGGCATCTAAAGTAGACATGTTGTACACAATATATAATTGGTTCGACTTTTTTTTTTGGTCAGGATTTCATGAGTGGTAAAACTCTTTATAGGAACCTTATGGGTGTCCTTCAGGTTGGGGTGAATTCTATCATGAGTGATCGAATGAGTAAAACTTATGGGAAGATCTTAGAAAAGGCTGTACAACTTTCTTTGGAAATCTTACTGCTCGTATTTGAGAAGGATTTGCATGTTTCCGATGTCTGGCGGCCACTGTACCAGGTACTTAGTTGTCCTTATGATGCATCGAAGCTTTAATTTGCATATCACCCAATTTCTCAAACTCCTTAATATGTCGTGAGAATGCAGTTACATCTATCAATAGTTTTTCCAAAGAGTATTCATAGGTTCTCGTGAACGCACAGTCAGAGCTTTCTGATACTGTCTGGGAATTTGGCATCCTGCGTTACCAAGTTTAGCTATTTCATCAATTTAAACTTCCAACCCCATACTAGGAGATGTATTCTAGATATTGCAACAATTTGTTCGTCTATTCTTTCTCTTAAATTTGATCAGCATTACTAACTTTAAGTCAAAGCTTAAGAGTATAAAACTTCAGACCATCTCCTTTTATTGTTGTGATCACAAGATACATGATTATTAGCAATACATAGTATTCCTTCCCAACTATTGAGTTGTGTGGTGTAAATTTGAATCTTGACACTGTTATTAATTTGGTTATTGCTTGAAGACTCTTTGAATTAATTCCCCACCGGCTATAGTGTATATATATATATATATATATAATTTTTTTTATTTTTTTTTTCATATAACACAATCAGCATGCCCATTCCCTGTTTTAATGTTAAAGCACAAGACGGTCAGGTAGCTTAGTGTTCACTTTTGTTGTTGCTGCAGCCTTTGGATATAATTCTCTCACAAGATCATAATCAAATTGTTGCCATGTTGGAGTATGTCAGATATGATCCTCTTCCTCAGATTCAGAGATCTTCAATCAAATTGATGAACATTTTAAGGTGGTAACAAATTTTGGTAGAGTCACTATCTTTTGATTGGTAGAATTTTGCACCATCATGAACTCCTTTCAGATCCATTGGATTTCGGATGTTCGATTGTTTTTCTTTGCTTTGTATAATTAGGTTAACCTTGTGGGTTTAATATGAATTACCTTGGTTTCAATTAATCTTACTCTTGATGACAGTTCTCGCTTGGTTGGACTCGTTCCAATGCTGATTAAAATTAATGCTGCGAATTCCTTGATTGAGGATTATGCGTCCTGCCTTGAGCTACGACTGGAAGAGGGTGAAGTTGTAGAGAACAGTTCTGATGATCTAGGGGTCCTTATTATGCAGGTTAGTTTCATTATTGACGGTTTCACTTAATAGAATATAATACGATGTGCACTCTGGCTTGGTCTTATCTATTGTCTTTCATCATGACTGATTCATCAATGGGTTGACAATTACACTGGTATGACTATTACATTTGTAGCTTCTGGTTGATAATATCAACCGGCCTGCACCAAGTATCACACATTTGCTTCTAAAGTTTGACCTGGATGCCCCCGTAGAAGGCACAGTTTTGCAGCCTAAGTTTCACTACAGGTTTGATTGTAATTTGTTTGCAGGATATGATGTATTTCTCTCAACCATAACCTTCATTTCTTTATTGCAATTTGCAGTTGTCTGAAGGTCATTCTTGACATTCTGGAAAAACTTCCAAACCCTGATATAAACTTCTTACTCTTTGAGTTCAGTTTTCAGGTGAGACATACTGATGCAGGATGATACGTTTCTAATCTTTCAAAAGAAACGAATTCTATATGGTCTAATGTCTTTTTCTTACCATAACTTTACTCTTTGCAGCTTTTGTGTGAGTTGAGTTTGGATCCATCAACTAGTGGTCCAACCATGGATCTCTTGAGCAGCAAAAAGTATCAGTTTTTTCTTCGGGTACACCAGATTTTCTTCTCCTTATACCTGAACAATGCCATTCTTACCTCGATGGCGGTCTTATCCAAGTCACAAATGACGCTTATATTTTTTAGTCATATTTTCTTATATGCTTTAATGCTGCAGCATCTTGATACCATCGGTGTTGCTACACTCCCAAGAAGAAGTGGTAGCCAGGCTCTCCGTATTAGTTCCCTTCATCAGGTATCTGCTTAGTTTCATGATGGTATCATCCCAGTTTCACTCTGTGCTGACAATCATTTTTGAAATTTGATATATTTTCCTGAAATGTTGACTGCCTCCTATACGCAATATTTATTTTTATGGTAGAATAGGCTATTTTTCGCAATCCCATCCTGCCTAATTTTTTTCTTTTTATTGTGGCACCTGAAAATTTCTGTAGGTAGATTCTTGTCTTATCTGTATGCAATTTTTGTTTGGCTAAGTTATCCCGTGTTGTTCTGTTTCGGCTGTCTGCCGTATGTGGTTAAATTGCTGTATACACACCGCTCTTGTCTCTTTAGTAATACTTTCTATTATCTGAATGTGTTCCTTGAACAGATCAATGACTATCAATTCTTTATTACAATGTAACAGAGTCCGTTCTGATACTGTTTCAATTTTTCTCAATCTCTACCTTTCGCAGAGGGCGTGGCTGCTAAAGCTCCTAGGTATTGCATTGCATACTGGTTCTGGAAGCAGTTCAGCTCACCTAGAAGCATGTCAGAGCATACTTTCTCATCTTTTTGGGCGGGAGGTAACCGAAGCAGGGAGTGAACGTTCTTTTTCCAGTACATATCCTCTTCAGGATGGTCTTGATTATGCTGGAACTAGTTCAATCAGTAAGAGTAAGGTGAGTTAGAAACTCCAGTGATTTAATGCTTTGTATGCGACTTTAAAAACTTCCTACTTTCATCCCTACTTATTTCGTTTAGCTCCCTACTTTTGCTGATATTCTGCGCAAATGAATATTAGTTTGTATGTTTATTGGTGCATCATGAATAGCATTGGTCTAAGAGTTTACAGTTTTAATTATGAGACCGTCCATGCATGATACAAATAAACTATACTGACCCCACTCTTTCTGAAGTCAGCAGTATTCACGTCACTCGACAGTTAATTTTCTTTAATAGTCGTAGTTAATAATTTTTGATGTCGCCTTTTTCCATTCAACAGCAATTTCTTTCAATGGACCTCTGAAAATGCTGTACATGTCATCATTTCTGTCTATTTATAGTTGTTCATGGCTGCAGCTTTCTTACTTTTGTTTCTCCTTTTGAATTGAGTTCAGGTTTTGGCCTTGCTTGAGATCCTCCAGTTTAGATCTCCTGATGCTTCTATGCAGCTTCCTCAAATTGTGTCAAACCGAAAGTATGACACACTGGTAAGGCTTTAAAATATGGCGGTATGTGTGCGTTGAGTATACTGTTATGAAAATTGAGTTTAATTACAGGTTGAGGAAATACTTGGGAACCGTGATACCTCTGTTAACGGCAGTATCTACTATTATTCTGAGCGTGGTGACCGCCTGATTGATCTATCTTCCTTCAGCAACAAACTCTGGCAGGTTTGTTCTTGCGATATTTGACACCAACAAAAATGAATGTTTCTCCTGCTATAAAATATTTTTGCTGATTAAATCTATTGTTTGTTTAGAAACTACATTCTGGATTTCCCCTAGTGGATAGTTTTCCAAATGTTTCTGAGCTTAACAAAGTTAGAGAGACAATTCAACAGCTGTTAAAATGGGGTTGGAAGTATAATCGAAACCTTGAGGAGCAAGCTGCCCAATTTCATATGTTAGCTGGCTGGTCTCAGATTGTTGAGGTTGATTGCTTTCTCAAAATATTCAGATCAGCTTTAGTATCATGAATGCGTGGCACTGTTTCATCTTTTGTGTTCTGCTTCATCTGTTTTTGGTTTTAGGTATCTGCTTGCAGAAGATTGTCTTCCCTGGATAATCGGTCTGAAATTTTGTACGGGTGAGTACCTGTCGTTCCAGAGGTTAATTGCTTGTGGTGTTTTCTTGAGCATTGCATGACTTGCTCTTCTCTGGTCGTTCGCAGGATACTTGATGCCTCTCTTAGTGCCTCTGCTTCTCCAGATTGTTCATTAAAAATGGCGTTTGTACTTACTCAGGTGCATTTTAGCTTTTGACTAGAGTCTATTGTATTAATCTGCTGTCCATGTACTAACTTTAGATTTTAATAGGTCGCCCTTACCTGCATTGCCAAACTTCGTGATGATAGATTTTTGTTTCATGGTGCCTTGAATTCTGACACAGTGACATGTCTAGATGTCATGATGGTAAAACATTTGTCCACTGGTGCTTGCCACTCAATTCTATATAAACTTGTTATGGCAATTCTAAGGCACGAGTCATCAGAATCCTTGAGAAGGCGGTATGATTCTAAGCGACATTACTTGTATTTATACTTAGTTATAACACAACATGAAGCCAATTCCTGCCCAGATGATCTATTTTCAGTTTTTCCCTTGTTTCTGATACATTTTCCTTAATCCATCAGCCAATATGCATTGCTCTTGAGCTATTTCCAGTACTGCCAGCATATGATTGCTCTGGATGTGCCAACGTCAGTCGTGCAGTTCTTGTTGCTTAATGAGCAAGATGATGAAGATTTGGATATCCAGAAGGTATATGTTTGCTGAGTATCCGAGACTTGTTTTGTTCAGACCATGTTTCAGTGTTGATTTCGAGACCCAAAAAAACGGGTCAAACTTGTATTTTTCTGTCTTTCAGATTGACAAGGAGCAGGCTGACCTTGCTCGCGCCAACTTTGCTGTAATAAAGAAAGAAGCTCAGGGCATCCTGGATCTGGTAATTGTTACTTCTTTATTGATATGAGCCATGATCATTTGCTCTGTTTCACTTTGAGAATATGAATTCCAGGTAATCAAGGATGCATGTCAAGGCAGTGAGTTTGGAAAAACGATATCACTTTACGTACTGGAAGCTCTTGTTTGTATTGATCACGAGAGATATTTTCTGAGTCAGCTTCAGAGCAGAGGTTTCATACGATCTTGCCTTGGCAGCATTAGTAATATTTCCTACCAGGTAATTTTCCTGTGAATTACTGATTGTAATGAATATTTTGCTATTAAAATTGCTATGAATTTTCTGTTTGCTGCAACTTTTGGTAACTAGTGGTAAGTAATTAATTTGGGGTTGACTTATAAATCAGCAGCAGTAGATCAAATTGCATTAGAGTCAGTAATACCCCCAGTCTGTACAAGTTCACATCGAAATTCAAGCTTACAGTATATTTATATATGTAAGATCGTCAAAACAGAATCGAAACATGTGAAATCTTCTTTAAGTGGCATATTGTGGCCAATTAGAAACTGCTTTAACTTCTGATCTACATGAAAATCAGAGATACCTTATGTAACTCTTGTTTGTTTTATACCCCATATGCCTCTAGTTTTTATACCCTATAGACATGATTTATATGTGGGTATACCTATTTCTAGGACTTACGTTCATGCATGTGTATTGATAATATCATTGGGCCCAGGATGGAACACATTTGCTGGAGTCACAACAGCGAGCATGTACCTTAGAGGCAGAATTTGCATTGCTACTTAGAATTAGCCACAAGTACGGAAAGTCTGGAGGCCAGGTTCTTTTCTCCATGGGTGCACTGGAACACATTGCCTCATGTAGAGCTATCAGCTTCAAGGTAAAGTATTATCTATAGTTACCAGGTTTTCTATATGTGACTCGGTGTTTTCTCTGCTTATAAGCCCAAAAGTACCTTCCAGGGAAATATAAGGCGAGTCGATATGAAGGTTCAGAGGGATGCAGGATATGATGTTCAAAAGCAACGAACAATAATCACTGCTGTCCTAAGATTGGTGTTTGCTCTAACTTCATTGGTTGAGACCACTGAATTTTTTGAGGTCAGCCTCTTTTCTTTCAATGACCTTTTTTATTTATTTTGCATTGCTAGTGTAACACTCTCTTCCATATTGTTTGGCCTTGTTTAGTGAGAGTGCGTTGCCAATGTAACAGTATCTTCCAGTATCGTTTAGGGCCTATCTCAGACTTGGCAGTTTTCATCTTCTGATTTTGTGATTTAGCTGAGGGGTTGTGATACAGACCTTCCAGAACTGAATGACAGATATCGACTTCAGTTTGTTTGAAAATTGAAATCAGTATTATTGCCTTTTTCTCTGTCAATAAAAACCAACTAAAACCAACGTGGTGTTTGACGTATAGTAGAAATTTGAACGATACTACAGATTTTTTCTTTTGCACTTGTTGACTTAGTCCCTATTATATACATCTATGATGCCTTCTAATAAGTAGAAGTAGAAATAGGTACCCGTCTTTGAAAGTTCAGGTTATACTAGGACAATCACTTCCTGGCATTTGCAGTATGTTTGCAAGACATGGAACAATCTAATACTGAATGGCAGGAGCATTTGTAAAGTTTAGGACAGTTAGTATTGTTCTTATTAGTTTTTCCGGGTACTGGATCCTTATGATCTAGATTTCCTGTCACCTATTCGTTTTGCTATTCAGTTACATCGTTTTCTGGGAAACCTGGTTTTCTTTAAATGCGAAATATAATTACTTTTCTTCTTCTCTTTTTATCTGGGCGTTTGGTAGGGGAGGAATAAAATTGTCCGTGAAGTCATTGAGTTTATCAAGGAACATCAGTTTCTTTTTGACCAACTTCTTCGGGAAGACTTTACCCAAGCAGATGATGTATTGATGGAGCAAATTATCCTAGCAGTAGGAATATTGAGCAAGGTAATTCATTGGCGTGCTAGATTTTTTTTTGTTTTATATTGATTGGCTTTTGCTCCTCAATTCATAATTGCATCTTTAAGAGGGTTCCCCGAATTACCACAAGCTAGTTAGATGAATTATCCTAGAAAATGAATTTCATGTTTTGTAGATCTGGCCTTATGAAGAGAACAATGAATGTGGATTTGTTCAAGGGATGTTTGATATGATGAGCAAGCTTTTCATCGTCTCTCCGATTCAATCCATATCATCGCGAGTAGGACAAGTAGTTCAGGTACATGGATGAGTATTTTAGTATGTCACAAGTTACTGGCATCTGGTCATCATATCCCTTGGATCTAATATTCGTTGTGTTTCTCTTTTGTTTCCCCCATTGGGGCACAGGAAGGGCCCAGGGTCAAATTGTCTCAGTTGCGATTCAGCTTGACTTTTTATTTATATTTTCGGGGGCCCAAAAATTCATTGGGGTTACAGGGACTGTTAAAGCTTTTATTTCCCTCTATTTTTTTTTGTTCCCTTTTTATATTATTAAGTGGGTTTAATTTAAAAAAATTAAAAAGTTGGGTCCCCCCTTTATTCCCCCCCCCCCCCCCCCCTCTCACCACCACAGATTTCAGATAATTCTTTTGATAACTCCACTAAACTACGGCAACCAACGTTGATGCTGCTTGCATCTCTTCTTTCGCATGTGACTGATTCCCTCGAGAGAGCAGCAGAGAAAAAGTCCTTACTTCTTCATAAGGTTGATATTATCATGTTTCCTACTCTTTACATGTTTTCACTCTTATTTATATATATCTCTATATATATATATATATATCTATATTCAAAATTGTATGTATGATTTGCAGATTAGAGACATTAACGAGCTCTCCAGACAAGATGTAGACGCTGTAATCAAGATGTGTGATTGCCAAGAATATGTCACACCCTCCGACAACATACATAAGAGGTTAGTGAATTTCTTTCTTCTGCTCGCTCATGCCCGAGTAGGTCCATTCACATATAATTTTCATCTTTTCCTGTCAAAGATATTGGAAATGTTGATAAATATATATAATGCTTTCTCCTCTTATCATGATGATGGGTAAATTCACCTAATATTAAATACACCTTTCTTTTTGGCCAAAATATTAAATACACATTTTGTGAAAGCAATAGGTGAACTTCATAAGTTGATGAAATTAAATGTCATGTCAAGAGACAGTCAGGTACTTTGGGCAATTGACGCCTATATATAGATGCTTGACTAATGTTATTTACGTGTTACTAACCTCAGGAGATACATAGCTATGGTCGAAATGTGCCAAATCGTGGGTACCAGGGACCAGTTAATCACATTGTTACTACAACTAGCAGAGCATGTACTAAATATCATCCTGATCCATTTCCAGGATAGGTATGCCACTGTATCGTCAACAACTGATATTTGTTATGTTAATATATATATTAATATATTTTTGGTCATCAAAATTATCGTTAAGTTTATATATATTAACAGTTATGTACTTCAGTCTCTGGATACATTATGCAAAATGTAACAGTTAATAACTCGTTTATATCTTGTGTGGATGTAAGTGCAAATCCAAATATTGACGAGGTGTATGCATAGAAATGTATTATGGTCTAACGAACTACTCTTGTGCTTTTATTACTAAACTCTTTACATCTGCAGATCTGTTAGTTCAAACGAAAGGGGATCATACGGTTCAAAATCCCATCAACAACAGGATATTACAAATCTATGTGGCAAATTGTCACCTACCATAGAAAGGCTTGTATTACTGAATGAGGTATATAGCCTAATCGATTAATAAGACTCTTTTTGATTAGTTATGTGATGAAAGTGAAAGGTGGTGACCCAACTCCTCTATTGCAGGGAAAAGTAGGACATAACCTGAAGGTGTTCCTAAGACTGGCGACTACTGTAAAAGAAATGGCTGTCCAAAAGTGTTTATGATATTGTATGTGGTTATTGAACGATTTCTTGTATGAAATGTCCAAATCTAAAATGTATTGTGGGTATGTATAACTGGGCTCAGGGATTTTCAATTATGAAATTGCTAGGTGTCCACCAGATCTCATAAACCTTATAATTTCCCCGAGAATGATTTTATTAAACCACTACTTTCTTGCTCAAGAGCCCTGTAACAGGGGCAATCTCATTGTTAATTTTTTTTTTTGTCGACCATTAGTTTACTTCATTAACAAAAAATTACATCAGTTTACATATGACATGATAGGTAGACAACTGAAGTCTAGCTTAGCTTGTTTACTTTTACATTGAGATTTTTATTGATAAAAATAAAATACAGAGAACATGGAGGTAGCGATCATGATGTATTTGTCTGTTTGAGTAGGGAAGTAATTAGCATGCAGCTCCGTCTCTTCTTGGAGATGGTTGTATAACTATTTTATGTCCACCATCAAAAGTTACCTTTGCCTAACTCAACTTCCATAGATCTGTAATGGTCATACGAATAGCTAAGGCTCTGGTCAAATTCGTACACCTTGCATGTCATTCTGGCCTAGCATAAATGAGTCTGAGTGTCATAATTAATATGTATTTCTGATTTTATCTTTAATAAGTTCAATTTTTGGTATTGGTGTTTTTTGAATTATTTAAATAAAATATGATTAAGAAGCCTAGACTAAAGAGTAGCAAGTGTTGCATTATGTTCTTAGCATCATGATTCAATATCTAAAGCACCCTAATCAATGATCACATCTAGAGGTTTAGCTTTTATCATTTGGTTAATCACCATCATCTTGTTTTGTTTGCTTGCTTAGTTCATTAATCATAGCTTGTTTGTTTCTTGTTTTATGCTTTCTTGTTGCTGGTTTCACAAAACTCATCTTTGATTACTTGACTTAAGAACCTATCACATAAACTAGTGCCTAACTACCACACATATGGATTGACACCCCTTATACTACTTTGACAAGGGGATTGATAACCCATCTAAGGCTTTAAAAACCTTAGTTATCAATGGGTGAGTGCCACGGTGTGTCGGAGAGTGAAGCCGAGGTCTCTATGTCGAGGAGTGCACGTGATCAGGATCCAAATCAAGATCTCGTGAAGAACACGTCAAGAACATGCATGAACCCTAGTCTTTGATCCATCTTCACGTGTGTGTTCTTGAGCCGTCTTGTTCTTGGTCCTGGGTTTGTGACAAGGGACCTCGCCATAAAATGTCGCGGGGCTTGGTAGTCGAGGGGTTCGGGAGAACAGAGTCCGGCATGCACGCCGAGGCCATTACACCGAGGTGCACGTCCAACACTTAGTCGTTTCCAGCTTCAATTCTTACGTGTGCATGCCTTGATCCCAACGTGCCGAGGCGTCAGCACGAGGTCTAGTCCAAAATACTCCCAAGATATGAGCCTTGGCTTGAGCAATGTCGAGGTGATGATGCCGAGGCCTGAGAAAATACTTAGCGCGTATCGCAACTCATTTAGGCTCGTATCGACCATATTGCCTTCTGGAGACAGTAACTTTCAACACACGACTCCAATTGCTCTGAGACCAGTCCCATAGTCAAGATGACTCAATAAGCTCGAACTTTGGTGAAGAAACCGTCGGAGCTTGGGAAGTGGAAGGCTTCCTGGATTTCACATCTTTGCACCGCATCGGATTCACCGGAAAATAGGCTTTTGGACCGATGTGAACTCCGGGGACCTTATCTTTCAAACCATTGATCCGAATTGAGTGATTCCAAACGTTCTGAGAATAGCTTTCACAGATCTCAAACTTTGATGAAGGCCGGGCGAGCTAGTTCGGACCGGAAAGGCTCCGTCCGTCGTGATCTTTGAAATCCGCTGTTCGGTTCTCGAGTACGCGCAATGCTGGTGCTTATTCCGGAAGCCGTATCTCTCTCCTCACTGGTCCGAATTGGATGATTCCAACTGTTCCGGAATCTTTGCTTGATTTTCTCCAACTTTGATGAGGACCCCGTCAACTGATTCGGACCGGAAGGTTCCCCGGATTGCTGATCTTTGAAACGCGCGGGCAAGGACAGGTTTTGGTCGAGAAAAGCTTCCCGCGGTAAGGAAAGTGACCGAGGGCTATATACCGCGGTAAGCCTTTTAGCCGTAAAATTCTTCTCGCCTCGGCCAAAAACTTAACCCGAGGTAATTTGCACCCGATACTCGTCTTTGGTCGATCTTGGTCGATCGGTAAGGGTTTTGGCCGATAATGAGCGTTCGGTAAGCTTTTTGACCGAGGTTTCTGTCCAGCCGGTACGTGTTTTGGCCGAGAAATTCCTTCAAGCGGTTTTCACCATATTTGACCCTTTTCTTCACCGTTTTCTTCTCTGCTCCTCTTCTTAAGCTCCAAATGGCTCCCAAAGCACCTAATAAAGACTTCAAAACATGCAAAACTCTTTGGGACCTAATGCAAGCCCTAAATCCTATTTTGATGCTTAAAGAATCAAGTTACATGGGAAAACACATGATGAGGACTCTAAAATGCACTCTAAATGATGTAAAATATAGACATATCAACTCCCCCACACTTGTCCTTTGCTTGTCCTCAAGCGAAAAGAACAAATGAGAGAAAGAGGTTGTAGTGCAGATGGAGCTCATATTTCCTTTTTAGAGAGAAGTGATCACGATAAGAACTCGGATTCATGCTCAAATATGCAATGCAAAGCTATACTCAGATATTTTCCGACTAAAGCACGGAATCTCCACAAGTCATCATCACATTCAACTCTTTCACATTCATTAAGTTCGTAACCGGTGAATCAAATGATGCAAATGTTCAAATAGACTAGCTTGGCTAGGGTAAGGTCATGAGATAAAAATGATCTCATCAATATTCAAGCGGGTGTAATGCAGCAAGGGATCTCTCTATGAACGACCAAACTTTGGCAGAATGCTAAAGGTAAAAAGCAACCTGTGCATACAAGGGCAAGACTCATCACACCCCACACTCCACTCAAAGTTTTCTCACTTGCTTACCCTCTCAAGATCTTCACTCTTCACAATCGTTTTCTTTTCACTAAGGGACTCACTTTTTGCTTTCATTTTCGAGTCTTGGAGTTCACTTATTCACACAGCTCTTTTCTTTTATAGCGCATAGCCTCTTCCTTTTCATTTAGAATGCTTGAGCCTTTTTGGCTTCTTTTCTTTTCAGAGACTAAAATTTTTCTTTTAAAAACATCAGAGCTCATCTTTTCAAATCCAAGACTCAATTCTTTTTCTTTCATTCCCCTAGCTATTTCCAATTTCTCTTTTCCACTCAACTCACCTTTTTCCACTCACCAACAAGTCTTTTCCCCCACACTTATTCCTCGCCAATACTCTCAGTTCCTTGATGTTGGAACATAGCACTCAATGAGACATGCCCTTGTCGCTCTAAACCTAACACTTTCTGCTAAGTTCGGTCCAAGGTGGCCTTACAATTCACACACAAACATTGGCTTGAAAGAAAAATGGGTTCAAGGTGAGGGAACTGAACCATGATGCGGATTCAGCTACTTGAGCTAAGGAAGGAGGGTGGTAAAAACAACGATTCTAGCTCAAGTATGTATATCGGTATCCACAAGCCTATTCAAGCAATGCATCAAAAGATATTTACAATTCAAGTTCAGGGTTATCACTTAGTTAGAGTTGAGTGTAATTCAGACTTGCTTCTCAGATTCAAATCGTTTCAAGCTTTACAAGCACAGAATGAGTTTCACAAGCATATTTAGTTCAAGTTCTCAAGTGATTTACTCTCTAGGAAAAAATCTATCATTGCTCCTTGCACTAATGCAATCCTACATGATGCAACTAGACTCGATCTTAGGATGCGAGATGCAACTAGAATGATGCAATTTTATCATATGTACAAAGCTAAATGAGACTCAAGAATGCAAAAGTCAAATAAGAACAAAGAAAACAAGATCAGAAAACACAAAGCTCCTCCCCCACACTTAAATAACACAGTCCCTTGTGTTATAAAAGCGTGTGGGAGAAGTAAAAAGACAAACTAAACAAATGCAAGATGGTATATACAAGATGCATATTTACAAGAGTTTGAAGTCGATACCTCAGTCTGAGAGGTCTGATCCCAAGTAGTACGAGGGATTTGATGTTGAGCAGGAGGGTGTGGACTGACGTGGTGGGCTGCTTTCCGAGGGTTCCGGTAAGAATGCCGAGGCAGGATCGATCCAGTCTTCTTTGCCTGGTGGAAACTCCGGATTCCTCGCGTTTGAGCTTTCTCCATCCTCTTCTTGTGTAACCGGTGCGGTTGAGGTCGCCGAGTTCTTGTCCGGTGAAGATGGTCTGGTGAGTTGCTTGACTTTCTTTTTCAGGTGCCTTAGCTTCCTTTCTTTTAACCCGCAGCACCAGCTAGCACAGTTTTGGACTTAGGCGTTTTGGACCCCTCCTGTTTAGTGCGGCCTGGCCTTCGTGTTTCTAGGTCGCACGACCATCTCGGAGTGAATTGCGAATGATCGTGCGACTTAGCCTCCTTGGGTTTCAGGCCGCAGCACCAGGTCGCACAGTTTAGCACTTAGAACTCTCGGCCTTCTTCTTTCTGGTGCGGCTCAGCTTCCTTGCTTCTAGGTCGCACACTCAAGCCGGAGTAAATTCCGAATAGACGTGCGGCCTAGCTCCCTCTCTTCTGACCCGCACACCTAGGTAGCACTGAGGCGTTCTTCAAGTTTTTCAGGCTTTAAACAGTCCTCTCAGCTCTCTCACATGCTCCATTCCATTCATCACTGAGCTATGTCCTCCAAAGATCACCTAGTACCTAAGACCAACTCACAAAACCCATCAAAAAGTTCTAAAACATAAAAGAAAAGAGAAGAAATCAAAAGAACTATGTACAAAGATAAGCTTGGGGTGTCTCCCAAGAGCACTTTGTTTAAAGTCTCTAAGTTTGACTTTGAGACCTGTTTAACAGGCTGGTGGATCAAAAAGAGGGACTGTTGTAGCCTCCTCTTTCCCTTGTGAAACTAAGTAATGCTTGATTCTCTGTCCATTCACCACAAATTCCTGGCCATTCTTTCCTTCCAAGACAATGGCACCATAAGGCCTCACTTCAAGAACTTTGAAAGGTCCAGACCACCTAGACTTAAGCTTTCCTGGAAACAACTTAAGTCTGGAGTTGAAAAGCAAGACCAAATCACCATACTTGAACTCTCTCTTCAGAAT